TTTAATTTAATTTAATTTAATTTAATTTAATTTAAACTCAGCCTGTCCCAGCACAGAGGCACTGGGAACACTGGGATGTTCCTGATTTTTACAGGGATTTTTACCAGATGGGACATCCAAACCCCAGAGCTCTCAGCCTGATGCAAAAAGTCAAAAAAAAATCAGATTTCAGCCCAATATTTTTCTATGCTGGTGTCTCTTACCCAATGACTTGGACTGTGCTTGGCTCTTCCAGACAGTGATTTGATAGAAAACCTCTCCAAAAGCAAAAAGCCCAAGCTGGACCTGGTTTTTGAGGAATGGGATGTGGCTGGGCTGCCGTGGTGGTTTTTAGGGAATCTCAGAAGCAATTACAAATCCAGGAGTAACGGATCCACGGATATTCAGACTAACCAGGTGTGTAAAAAGGGGCCTCATGTCCTCTTTTGTGTCTTTTGACTTCCAATGAAATAGAATATTCTGATTTTTTTCTCCCTTTTCCCTTCCCACTCCATCATTTCCAGCCTTTTTCCCACTCTGGGCCTTTCTCTTTGGGTGGTTGGTGAAATTTTAAGGTTTTTAATCAACAAAACTTTTTCCTCAAGGCCCTCAGAGGTGCCTGGATTTCAGGAGTTGCCCTTTTTTTAAATTGGGATAAACACTGTAGGGTGGTGGTCAAGCTGGAAGAGGTGGAAGTTGGGAAAAAGGAAAATGGTGAGGTGGAAATTGGGAAAAGGTTGGGAAAAGGGAAATTTGTGAGGTGAAAATTGGGAAAAGGGAATCTGTGAGGTGAAAATTTTAAAAATGGAAACCTGTGAGGTGGAAATTGGGAAAAGATTGGGAAAGGGGGAACTTGTGAGGTGGAAATTGGAAAAAAGAGGAATGTGTGAGGGGAAAATTTTAAAAATGGAAGCTTTTGAGGTGTGAATTGGGAAAAGGAGGGCCTGGGAGGTGGAAATTGGAAAAAAATGTAATCTGTGAGGTGAAAATTTTTCAAAAAATGGAAACCTGTGAGGTGGAAATTGGGAAAAGGGGAACTTGTGAGGTGGAAATTGAAAAAAGGGGGAATCTGTGAGGGGAAAATTTTAAAAATGGAGGCTTTTGAAGTGTGAATTGGGAAAAGGAGGGCCTGGGAGGTGGAAATTGGAAAAAAATGCAATCTGTGAGGTAAAAATTTAAAAAATGGAAGATTGTGAGGTAGAAATTGGGAAAAGATTTGGAAAAGGGGAACTTGTGAGGTGGAAATTGGAAAAGGGGGCGAACTTGAGAGGTGAAAATTGGAAAAAAGGGGAATCTGTGAGGGGAAAAGTTTAAAAATGGAAGCCTGTGAGGTGTGAATTGGGAAAAGGAGGGCCTAGGAGGTGGAAATTGGAAAAAAATGCAATCTGTGAGGTGAAAATTTTAAAAATAGAAGCCTGTGAGGAGGAAATTGGGAAAAGAGGGAACTTATGAGGTGGAAATTAAGGAAAGGTTGCGAAAGGGGAGCCTGTTAGGTGGTAATTGGAAAAAAGGGAATCTGTGAGGTGAAAATTTTAAAAATGGAAACTTGTGAGGTGGGAATTAGGAAAAGGAGGGCCTGTGAGAAAGTAATTGGAGGAAGAGAAGCCTTTGAGATGGAAATTGGAGAAAGGGGAACTTGTGAGGTGGAAATTGGGAAAAACTGAGTTGGTGAGGGAGAAGGAAGGAGCTTGTGAGGTGGAAATTGGGGAAAGGTTGGGAAAAGGGGAGCCTGTGAGGGGAAAATTGGAAAAAAGGGGAATCTGTGAGGGGAAAAGTTTAAAATTGGAAGCCTGTGAGGTGTGAATTGGGAAAAGGAGGGCCTGGGAGGTGGAAATTGGAAAAAAATGCAATCTGTGAGGTAAAAATTTTTTAAAAAATGGAAACCTGTGAGGTGGAAATTAGAAAAAGAGGAGCTGGTGAGGTGAAAATTGGAAAAATGGGGAATCTGTGAGGGGAAAATTTTAAAAATGGAGGCTTTTGAGGTGTGAATTGGGAAAAGGAGGGCCTGGGAGGTGGAAATTGGAAAAAAATGTAATCTGTGGGGTGAAAATTTAAAAATGGAAGCTTGTGAGGTAGAAATTGGGAAAAGATTGGGAAAAGGGGAACTTGTGCGGTGGAAATTGGAAAAGGGGGGAACTTGTGAGGTGAAAATTGGAAAAACGGGGAATCTGTGAGGGGAAAAGTTTAAAAATGGAATCCTGTGAGGTGTGAATTGGGAAAAGGAGGGCCTGGGAGGTGGAAATTGGAAAAAAATGCAATCTGTGAGGTAAAAATTTTTAAAAAAATGGAAACCTGTGAGGAGGAAATTGGGAAAAGGGGAACTTGTGAGGTGGAAATTGGAAAAGGGGGCGAACTTGAGAGGTGGAAATTGGAAAAAGAGGAGCCTGTGAGGAGAAAATTGGAAAAAAGGGGAATCTGTGAGGGGAAAATTTTAAAAATG